GGGTCAGATCAGGCGCAATTCCCACACTGTGTTCCTGGTGTTGTCCCCCGCAGGGCCATGGGCCAGTGAGGAGCATCTCGTCTCATAGTGGGCCAACCTCCATTCTTACCTTAGCCAAGACCCACCTCTTTCTGGAGTTCCAACTGGGTTTGGTAGAGGGTTGTGTTAAGTGATTCGAGGACCACAGCTTGTGCATGCAACTCTTCCTGTATGGTCTGTGCAGGAAGAAATTGTTTCAGGACCCAAGACAAAGAAATCCACCCCCCTGTAAGGCACCTGGATTAGACTCTGAAGTATGACCCCTTCACCTATACCCCTCATAGCCAACTGGCCACCACACCCTATTAATTCTCCAACCTCAATGTCTCCATAGCTAGACCTCTTCAGCTTCACTGTCACTGGCCCAGAGCCAGCCCTCACCAGCATTCACGCGGTTTGTTACAATGGTGAGCCATCAAACAAGTATTTATTAAATATTCCTACTGCGGGAACTCTGGTAGGATAGTGGGTTACACACTGGACTGCTAATGGCAAGGTCAGCAATTCAAAACCATCAGCCACTCCATAGGATAAAGATGAGGCTATCTACTTTCATAAAGAGTTACAGTCTCAGAAACCCACAGGGACAGCTTGACCTTGGCCTAGAGGGTTGCTATGAGTCCAAATAGACTTGTTAGCAATGAATGAAGATAGATATGCTATCAGCCTTTGTGGACCATACATCTTAAGAGAAGAAGATAGGGAAAAATTAAATAAAATACTCACAATAATCAAATGTCATAAGAAAGAAGGAAACGGGGGATCCTGGAAAGATGGAGACCACGTAACACACACCAGAGGAACGCCGTGCTAATCAATGGAAAACTCTACTCTTCCAGGTCACAGGAGGAGCATCAAAAAGATCCACTAGGTTTTAAAAAGCAATGAGCTTTTGGCTTACCACCACAGCGACCGGCTAGGACTTAGCTTTAGCCCCGCCACAGTCGTGGCTGGTGCTGGGTTACCTTGGCTGGCCCAAGGACGCTACTTCAACACCTGACACTGTCTTGGGGCTATATTTAAAACTCCTCCACCCCCATGGTCAGGCAATTGGGGACTCCTTTATTTCTTTAAAAAGAAAATCTCTCTTTCCTGCCAAAGTCATGGCTGGCTACAGCTGGCCTCCAGGGCACTCCACACCACCTAGGGTACCCCCCACCTGCCCTCTGTGGTACTCTATGCCACAGTGGGCACCCCCACATGCCCTCTGAGGCACTCCATGCCACTGTGGGCCATGCTGCCACAGCTTCTCACGTGATCGACTAGCGCAGTGCCACCCTTGTGTCCCTCACCTGTCTGACCAGCGTCCCCTGAGAGGGCCATACAACATGTCCTCCAAACAACAGAATCCCAGTTGGTGAGGGAGGGAGTGAAGTGCCAATGGGATAAATCAGTAGCCTGACACTCCCGCACAGTTGGCTCCAGGCAGTCCACAGAAGCATTCCTACAAGCCTCCCAAAGAGAGAGCCCGGTTCTCTTTGATTCTCTGGAAAATGGCTCTGAGCTCCTCTAAAATGACACACAGACGGCAACCAGCCCCAACAACCTCAATAAAAAAACAAACAGGAGAAACAAAATGTAATGTCAGAGGAAGTGCTGAACCTAATGACGTGCATCGAAGAAGCAGATGTTGAGCTACACAGAAAGAAATATTCAGAATGCTGCTGGAGTCATACAGGATAGAAGGGAAGCAATACAGAAAAAGGATGAAATAATAAAGAAGGTAAAGGCCACACACCAAAGGTAAATACAAGAGTTAAGGAATAAGGAATAAAAGCAAATAAGTTAACAGACATCACCAATAGACTAGAAGAAGTGGAGAATCATACCAGTGACATCAAGGAAAATACAAATGGAATATACAGTCAAACAAGTTAATCAAAGAAGCTGAAGAAAACCTAAGAACAATGTCTGATGCTATGAAGAGGAATAACATTCGAATAATGGGATTACCAGAATAAGACAGAACCGAGAATCAACTGTAAAAATAGCAAGGGAATTCCTGGAAGAAAATTTCCCCAGCTTAATGAATGAGAATTAGGCAACAATTCAGGAAGTAGAGAGGACACCAGCTAGAATGGATTCCAGGAACAAGTCGCCAAAGCAAATAATAGTTAAAGTATCCAATTTTGAGGAAAAGGAGAAAATGATAAGAGCAGCTGGAGGGCAAAAGGCAGTCACCTATAAAGGTACTCAGATCAGAATTTGCTCAGTCCTATCAGCAGACACCATGACGAAGAGGAGAGAGTGGAGTAACATCTTCAAAAAGCTGACAACAATGTCAACCCAAGAATTCTCTACCCTGCCAAACTATCTATCTAGATAGCTGGAGAAGTAAGACTCTTCCCAAGCAAGAGACACAGGAAGGGAGTGCAACGGGGGCAGCCAGGGGAGCAAAGTAACAAAGTCCCTGAGGAATCATGAAAATACACTTCTGACTCGGGGGACAGGGCGTGGCACCTCATCAGACCCAATTAGAAAACATTCATAAGGGTCAGCAGACAGATCTGGAACTATTTACAGGCTTTTTGTTTGTTTGTTTCTTTTTGCTTCTTTTCCCTTTTTCTTCTTTCGCTCTATGTCTATCTATATAAGCTAGGCAGGATAAACAATCCTGAGGAGAAAACAACAGGACCGGTGGTTCTGGGGGGACATGGGAGACGAGGAATGGGGAGCGGGGAGCCAACAAACTCAGGGACAAGGGAACAATAAGAGATCTAAAATTGATGGCAAGAGGGCACAGAATGCCTGGTAGGGTTTGATCAAGTGCCATGTATCCAAGAGGAATTATTGAGAGCCAAATGGAAGGAGCACATGATGGTGGGGCAGGAGGAAGGTGAAAGGAAATAGAGGAAAGAACTATGAGGCAAAAGCTATTTATAGAGGTATATGGATAGGCATGTATATATATAAATATATTAATTTATCGTGATAGGGATATAGGTCAATGTACATATATTTATATGCTAAGTATTAAGATAGCAGATGGACTTTGGGCTGCTACTCAAGAGCTCCCAAAACACAAGAGCACTTTGTCCTAATAACCTGGCACTCTTTGATACTCACCTTCTCAACATGATCACTGAAGACACAATGGGAGCATAAGTAAATGTGGTGAAGAGAGCGGATAGTGCCCGGCTATCAAAAGCTATAGCATCTGAGGTATTAAAGGCTTGAAGTTAAACAAGTGGCCATCAGCAGGGAAGCAACAAAGCCCACATGGAAGAAGCACACCAGCCTGTGTGATCATGAGGTGTTGATGGGATCAGGTATCAGTCATCAAAAGATCCAAAACAAACACTTAGATCAATGCAAACAAGGGGGTGATACTGGAGACCCAAAAGCCCAACTGTAGACAATTGGATATCCCCTTACTGAAGTGTTATAAGGAGGGATGATTAAATACACAGCATTCCTCTAGTTCCTGAATGCTTCCTCCCCACCCACTATCATGGCTCAGTTCTACCTTACAAATGTAGCTAGACTGGAGTATGTACGTTGGTACAGATAAGAGCTCTTGATACATGGAATCTAGGACAGATAAACCCCTCAGGAAGAGTGGGAGTAGCGATACCATGAGGGTAGAGAGAGGGTAGTGGGGAATAGGGGAAGAGGGGAAACTTATCCCAAGATTGGATATATAACCCCCACCCCACCCCAAGGGGTACAAATAATAGAAATGTGGGTGAAGGGAAACAACAGGTGCTGTAAGATATGAAATAACAATAATAATATATAATCGAGCAAGGATTCAAAAGGGTGGGAGGGTGAAGGGAGGGAGCGGGAAAAAGAGTAGTTGATATCAAGGGCTCAAGCAGAAAGAAAATGTTTTGGAAATGATGATGGCAACATATGTACAAGAAGTGTGCTTAATACAGTTGAATTATGGATTGTTAAAAGATTTGTAAGATCCCCCCAATAAAATGGTTAATACAAAAGGAAATAAAGAAATAAGAAAACAAAACAAGGATGAAGCTAGAGGAGAAGGCGTATGAAGGACTAGGAAGGGTGAGCTTGGAACTGAGATCGGTTAGGGAAAGACTCTCCAAAGAGGGAGCATGAGAGTGCAAAGGGGGTTGCGTAAATACCCTAAGAAGATGAAGGACTCAATGCTTCCGAGGACCTGAAGGCACACCAGTGGCTGGAATCAAGAGAGCAAGCAGAAGAGTGGGCCAAGGTGAGGAGAGAGAGATGCCAGGACATCCTGGACCTGAGAAGTCTCTTTGGTAACCAAAGACAAGAGGTACCACTGCAAGGTTTGACACAGAGAAGTGATCTAATGTGTGAAAACTATATAGTATTGGAGACACGGAGATGGATTTGGCATGTGCTATAGAGGTATCACTGAAACTGGTGAATTGATAAGGGGGTGAAAGAAATTAGTGATGATTCTTGAGGTTGAGACTTGAACAGCTAGTTAGTGGAAGTATTCCTGGCTGACAATTACAAGGGGTCAGATTTCCAGGAAAAGCAGGAGTGTGCAGTTGGACACACCATGTTTGAGGTGTCTCTACATCATCAGCATAGAAATGCCCAGTGAACAGTTGTATATACAGCTTAGGGTGCCCTGGTGCCCTCAGGAGCTACGCATTGTGCTGATAGCCACAGGGTCAGCCATTGAAATCCACCAGCAGCTCCACAGGAGAGAGAAAGACGAGGTTGTCTACTCCCATAAGATTTAAAGTCTTAGGGCCTCTATGAACTGGAATTGACGATGGCAGTGAGAGAGTGAGTGGCGTTTAGAGGAGAGAGTCGCCCTGTAGGGTCTTAGTCTTACAGCACAGAGATAACATTTGCTTGTAAGTGGATAGATAAGATCACCTAAGGATCAAGGAAAGGGAGTTTACAACCAAGCCCTGAAGCATTCCAGGATTTAGCAGTTAGTGGAGGAGGAAGATGGAGCTGAGGGGGATGGAGGGGTGAGCCATGAGCGAAAGGAAAAACCAGAGGCCTGTGACAACCAAGAGCAGTGAGTGTGTCAAAGAAGATCCTTTCATCTGGCAACTTGGTAGTTCCTGGTGATTGGCACAAGAGCAGTGTCAGCAGACAGAGTGAGAGAGAGCAGCGGCCGGTTGAGGTGTAAATGAGAAGCAAACCTTCTAACCGTTTCTCCTCTCCTCATTTCGTCTTTTCAGAGTCCTTTGCGTGAACACCAGGTTTCTTTCCTAAATGATTCCCTTTCCTCAAACATTTCCAGTGGCCCTCCACTACCTAGAGAATCCAATCCAGATTTCCTGTATGATAAATGGGTTATTAATGGTTATTGAGTATAGAGTTCGTAAAACCCCTTTTCCTTCTCAATGGGCAAATTAGGAGCCCGGTGATGTTGTAGGGTAAGCGGTGGACTGCTAACCACAAGAAATGACCAGCCACTCCCGGGGAGAAAGATGGGGCTCTCTGACAAAGAAGAATCACTGGGTTTGAATTGTGGCGCTGGTGAAGAACGTGAAAAGAACTGTGGACCGCCAAAAGACAAACCAATTTGTCTTGGAAGAAGTATGGCCAGAGTGCTCCTTCGAGGCAAGAATGGCAAGATGTTCTCTCACTACCTTAGACATGACGTGAGAGGAGACCAGTCCCTGGCGGAGGACACCATGCTCGGTCAAGCAGAGGGGCGGTGAAAAAGAGGAAGGCCCTCAGAGGTGGGTTGACACATTGGCTGCAGCAATGAGCTCAAGCAGAGGAACAACCGTGAGGATGGCGCAGGGCCGGGCAGTGTTTGGTTCTGTGTGCATAGGGTCGCTACGGGACAGAAACGGACTCACTGACACCTGACAACGACAACAACAACAACACCTGCTGCCATAAAGATTCATAGCCTATATGGGTTCGGTATGAGTCCCAGTGGGCTTGATGGCAGAGGGCTGATGGCACGATGGATGTTGGCTCAATGCTCCGTTCTGTTCTCCTAGAAACCAACATCAAGGTGGGAAGGCCTTCCAACATATTAAACAGAGTGCTCAGAGAATCCAGGGTATTGCAGAGAGAATTCCTAACGGTCCACTATTTGTCTGTCCGTGTGTCGTCCTGTCGTGGCTTGTCTGTTGCTGTGATGCTGGAAGTTGTGCCTCTCATACTTCAAATACCATGATGGACAGGTTTCAGCGGAGCTTCCACAGGAAGAAAGAATAGGAAGAAGGGAGTAGCTGACCACTTCTGAGAAATCAACCCTGGGAAACATTAGGACTAGCAGCAAACACTGTCTGAACGTGCCCGGAGATAAGTCCCCAGGTTGGAAGTCACATAAAATAGGAGCGGGGAAGAGCTGCCTCTCGCAGTCGAGTTGTCCTGAATGGCGCCGTTTGCTGAGGTGGCGTGATTCAAGATGAGAAGAAACAGCGGCAGATGGCTATTCATAATCAAAATGTGCAACTGGAAATCGTCAACATGCAATGGAAGGCATAGAGGTGGGTAACCTAGGCGTGAGTAAGCTGAAATGGACTGGCATTGGCCGTGTGGAATCAGATAATCGTCTATGGTCTATTCTGCTGGGAATGACAAATTGAAGCAGAACTGGGCTCATTGCTCAAGAGAACATTGTTCAAGATCTATCCTGAAGCACAACACCGTCCATGACAGGAAAGTCTTCACACACCCACAGCAAGGGTAGGTAATTAGCCTGTGATTCAAATCGATATACCAACTAGAAAGAGCCCAAAGTGAAGAAATTGAAGATTTTACTTAAAGCCAACTTCAGCAGACTGAACTGTATCAAACATTCCGTGAAGCTGCATTGGCCCAGAGAGCAGTTCTGCTCTGCCCAAGAGGGTTGCCGGGAGTCAGAATCTATAAGAAGGCTGTGGGTTTGTTCCCAAGGGCTCAAGGAGAAAGAAAATGTTTTTAAATGATGATGGCAACATATGTACAAATGTGCTTGAAAATTCAATGGATGAATGTATGGATTGTGGTAAGAGCTGTACGAGCCCCCAATAAAATGATTTTGTTTTAAAAGCTACATTGACAGTTACTGAAGATGCATGGACAGTTACGTACTGAAGATGCATGGACAGTTA